CATGTAGATTCATTGCTAATGGTTTTACTATAGAAATCTGTTGAAGAAAGAGATTGTATGTGGTCATGAATTTGAGACTTAGCTTGATGAATGAAGGCTTTAGATGCTTTTTCTTAACTGTAACAGGCCCCTCCCATGTCAGCTGCTGGAGACACACTGAATAACCTGTGGAGTGTATTAGTTAAGATTTTAAGGTGTAGTGTGGTATGCACATTACCAACCCTACCCTTTTAAAAGAAAGGTTCACATAAATGCATACATTAATGGCAGACCTGATTTGTTTAAGAAACAATATTTTAGTGTGGAATATTCAATAAAATTTACTAAAGTTATTTTTTAAGGAAGTGCTCATAATTACTGCTATTTATAACAATGGAACATTTGTTTATTCATATGAGTGAGCATATGAGAGACAGGTATTTAGAAGAGAATCTAACAAATATATAATTTTGAAAAAAAAATATCTGTATATGTTTTGCTGGTCATCTGATAAACTTAGAAAAAGTTTTTGTTATATAATATATACACCAAAAACTACATTCTGAACCATGATTATTTCAACTCAATACACTTTAGAATGATGTGAAATATAACCATTGCTGTCTATGCAATAACCATTAGGATAATGCAATAAACCAGAAATACCTGACCTTACTATACATAAGGCTCCATTGAACAGCATATATAATTAGTTGAGCCATCACATAATACACATAGCCTGCAGATTGCATTCAAGAATGAAATGCACTGCTGCTCAGTGTTAACTTCACTATCCACTTTTATATTTACATATGCTCTATTCTTGATATTGAACACATTACCCATATATAGCACACCTTAAAACTATATTTATATCATATATAATCTGCACATAAATAATCATCTTAGAGAACCCTTTTTACCTTCCATCAGCATGGCTAATGCTAACATCCAGGAGAGTGATTCGTTGTACCTTTTCTGATTCATGTTTTCAATAGACATGAAGTGGAAAGATTTTATTGAATCAATTGTGAGGTTTGCTGCTAGGAAAGTTGGTTCTCTTGTGTTGTGCTAGACAATTTTTCTCACCAGAATCAATAATATATTGATAAGTCTACCATTCATCCTTGGTTTGAATACTTTGGTCTCATGCTTCTGCTATATATTCTTGATAAAATTCCAAAGAATCTGTAATGTTATTGGTCCTGGCCTGGCATCTCACTTTTAGTCACTTTCCCACTGTCATAACATAGCTTCCCTGTTCTTTTTCTATAAATATTTTTATGGTAATTGTTCTAATGAACTTTCCTCTCTGGTACCTAGAATCTAATAATAGATAGATTGGCATCAAGGTCTCCTCATTTTACACTTGAAATATCTATATATAACTAAGTTATATTCAAACAGCATCTTCTATGGCACTTCTCACTTCTGGAACTCAGACAGACTTCTTGCTTCCCAGTCAACTGTGATTTTCAAAATTTAAAAAAATCATTATCTTCTGTCTTAATTATTGTTTTACCATTCTCTCTCCTTAATAATGTTTTTTTTTTCATATTCTCTAACACTCAGTAACCCCTTATGTTTAGTGGCTTTTTTTCTTTGTTCGGGGTAAAATGATTAAAAAAAAAAAATTAAAAAAATAAGCATTTATGAACATGTCAGAAAAGCAGCAAGTGATAAAAATTATTTGTGAAAAGACTGTATTTAGTTATGGAAATACAAAACTTAAGTTAATAAAAGTATTTAATGACAACAATACTTTTTAAGTTGACTACAAATTTTCAAGTGGAATTAATATAAGCTTTTTCAGATGGCACATTGAAATACATTGCAACTAATTTCCTTATAAAAGGAATTAATGACAGTCATTGTGATATGGTACCAGTCTCTCACTGTCAATGATAACCATTTCATGATTGTGTAGAGATCATGTGGAAAAGATGTCTGTCCAATAAATCTTTTTAAAAATACATTTGGTCAGAATTTTGGGAAGTGGGTTAGATTGAAATGTTAGTCACTACTACTTTATATGAACATTGAAAAATTTTCCTGTTGTCAAAATTAAAATTTTATGTTTGGTAAGCATTTGATAGGCTTTCTTGATTTTAATCCCTTTAGATTAGTTATTTTTTTCTCTCCAGCCTAAAAACTCAAAGATTTAATTCTATAGTTATTTTTTGTTGTTGTTTTAAATAAGGATTTTTGGTATTTAATCAATGCCACCATTATAGTAATAATGAAGATAGTTGTAGCATAATAAAAAAAAAAATGTTTGATATAAAAGATGATTTATAAAGGTATGCTGAAAACATGCTCTATGTATGGCAGGATTTCCTGTTGAAGGTCTGTCTGGCCTTTAGCCCTAATAAGAATTTATGGCTTTGAACTATGTACAGTGCTGTGCAAAAGTAAGTGAATCCTTAAGTAAGTGTAAGAAAAAAAATTCTCTTTTTTCCAAATAAACTATATCTTTATTAAGAAAAATCTTTATTAAGAAAAATCTTTATTAAGAAAAATCTTTATTAAGAAAAATCTTTATTAAGAAAAATCTTTATTAAGAAAAATCTTTATTAAGAAAAATCTTTATTAAGAAAAATCTTTATTAAGAAAAATCTTTATTAAGAAAAATCTTTATTAAGAAAAATCTTTATTAAGAAAAATCTTTATTAAATGAATTACAACCACTTTCAAAAAGTTTTATCAATCTGGAATAAAAATATTAATTAAAAATTAACATGTGTAAAAGTAAGTGAACCCTTACATTTTCATTCTGTAATTTTGTTTTACATGGTTACCAGTGCAAATATTTTTTTGTGCACATGTAAAATTCAAAATGACACATGATCATTTTTTTGGTAAGCTATGTATACTATAGTCAACCAATATAACTGTGCATGCAAAATGGTGCAGTTAAGGAGAAAACTTAAGAAAAAAATATGCCAATAACAAAAGGACTGAAGCTTCAAAAAATTTGAATTTAGTTGAAGTCTATAATAATGGAGAAGGCTGTAAAAGGCTATCAAAATGGTTTGGAGAGCACGTCACCACTGTGTGACAAATTATTTATCAATGGAATGCCTTTGGTATGATGGCATCGCAATCAAGAAGTGGTAATCCTTGAAAAATAACTGCAAGATCAAGTAGACAGGTTTTGGCAAACTCGGGTGAATCCTGCTGTGACTTCTGTGGTTCTCCAAAGCTTCCTGGCCAATGTTGGAATCAATGTGCATACATCTACTGTGCAATGAAATCCAAATGATGCTGGTCTTTATAGCAGAATGTCTAGAAAAAACCACTGCTTATGAAAAAGCACAAATAAGTTTAGATCAACTATGCCAAAGCTCATATTAATTAGCTAGAAAAAGCAAGAGCTTTTTGGGAGGTACAATAAGTGGTATTTTTGGTAAGTTCCTCATACAGCTTTTGAAGAAAAGAATTTGGTGCCAATAGTTAAACATAGTGGCTTCAGCATTATGATTTAAGGGTGCTTTGCTGTAGCTGAATCAGGCAAAATAGTATGCATTGATGGCACAATGGACAACAAGATACCAAGCAATTTTGAATGAAAGTGTCTTGTCTTGGCCTCAGTTTGAAAGTTGGGTTTAAGTCAGGGCTGGATCTTCCAACAGGACAATCTGAATCATCAAAACAAATCTATAAAAGAATGAGTTCAAAAAACGAAATTTCAAATCTTGGAATGGCTTGGTCAAAAGTCCAGATTTAAACCCAATTGAAAATCTGTAGTTCAAGCTAAAGAAGGCAGTACATGCAAGAAACCCAGATATATCAAGTGTGGGAGTTTTTCTGAGAATAATGGTCAAAAGTTGATGCCCACTTAACTTTTTTTTTTTTTTATTTTATTTTATTTTATTTTTTTTTTAACAAATATTTTCATGGCAGTTGTCTACCACTTGGTACTATGACCATATGAATTTAAATGTATTAATAGATTGGCAACTAGGTCTCATAGTTTTACTATTAAAAGCTAGTTGTAACTGTATATTTTATTCTAATAGTTTCTTTTATTGCACTTCTTACTTGTCACGCTTCCAATTTCTTCCTTCCCTGATGCATACAATCTTTAAAAATTTCAATGCCATGTCACTTGCTATCTTCTGTCTTTGTGAATCCTATTGTTTCATTGTCCTTTCTCATCACTAAAGTCTTCTCATTCTCTTCCTCACCAAGTAACTCCTTGCATCTTAGTGACATTATTACCTTGCTTGGTGGTGAAATGAATAAAAAAAAGGCCTTAGAAAGTACCCACATTTTTTTAACTGGATCTTTATAGCAGCAACTACCATAGTCATTACACATAAATATGCTAACACTTGTTCTTAAATGGTGTTCATTGTTTATGTTGTTTCTGTTTAGCCTTGAAAATAATAATTTTTCTGGTGCAAAGAATTCAGAAAAAATATAAAAATTTCAGATGTCTATTTTATATGGTTATACAAAGAAATCTGTTACCCTGATGAATTGAATTAAGGGCCCAGTTTGCCAATATAATTGCATTTTAAATCAAACTTTCATTAAAAATTAAGATTTTGGAATTTTCAAAAACTAATATGCTAAAAACATGATCCAGGTTCACATTAGCAAGTATAATTTGGTGACAATAACTCTAGTCATCCTCCTGTTATAAAGACAAATGGACAGAAACATTTGGCAGTGTAGATTTCATATTTTATTTGCTTAATTATAGACCTGATTTTGCAGCTATACAGGTACATACATGTGTGTGCACATGTATGTGTCAATAATTAGAGAAAAGGTTCTGAACAATTGAAACTAAAACTTGGCACAAAGGATGGATGACATTTCATTACTTTCTAAATATTGTTGATTCAAAACAATTGTTGGGGTGTTGTACTTTAATTTGACTGTGTTGTTCAAAACACTTAGAGTGAAATACAAAATGATGTGTCAATGAAGATCATAATGTCACCACGTTTCCTTTGATTGCTATCTGTTCCAATCCTTTGATACGTATGTACCTCATTGTGACGTGTGTCAAGATTTTGGCTTCCCCATTCTCACTCCCAATCTCTTGGCACCCATCTAGTGTCTCTCTCTGCCTCTCTCTCTCGGCACCCATCTAGTGTCTCTCTCTGCCTCTCTCTCTCGGCACCCATCTAGTGTCTCTCTCTGCCTCTCTCTCTCGGCACCCATCTAGTGTCTCTCTCTCTCTCTCTCTCTGCCTCTCTCTCTCGGCACCCATCTAGTGTCTCTCTCTCTCTCTCTCTGCCTCTCTCTCTCTGGCACCCATCTAGTGTCTCTCTCTCTCTCTCTCTCTGCCTCTCTCTCTAAGCACCCATCTAGTGTCTCTCTCTCTCTCTCTCTCTGCCTCTCTCTCTCCTGGCACCCATCTAGTGTCTCTCTCTCTCTCTGCCTCTCTCTCTAAGCACCCATCTAGTGTCTCTCTCTCTCTCTCTCTGCCTCTCTCTCTCGGCACCCATCTAGTGTCTCTCTCTCTCTCTCTCTCTCTCTCGGCACCCATCTAGTGTCTCTCTCTCT